AGAGAACGGAGGCACAGACCAAAGAACCAGCAGAGAGCCTGCGGCACGTCCCCGGGGAGGCCAGCCTTGCCCTCCGCAGGCAGATGCAGAGCCCGGGCTCCCACCAGTGGCCGACGGCCCCTTCCTCCTTCCAGGCACCATCAAACACAGCAGCCAAAGGCCCAGGGCAGGGACGGCACAGCTGGGCCAGGGCTCTGTGAGCCAGGACAGGCTCACAGCATCTCGGAGGCCCCAGAGCAGGGAGGGTGCGGCCAGGACGCTCACCAGGGGCTCTGTGGGCAAGGACAGGTTGACAGCATTGCGGAGCCTCCTGCTGGCCGAACTGCACGGAAGGCAGAGGGGACAGGCCCTGAGGGGATGTGCCCCTGTCACGCTGCATCCTAACCCCACCCCACCCACCCTCACCTAACCAGGGCCACCCCACTTCTCAAAGCAGCCCCTCCACAGGGCTCCCCAGCCAGACTGTGGGCTCCCTGCAGAGGCCCCTGCTGCAACCCCGAGTCCCGCCTCCCGCAGGGGGAAACAGCAGCGTGCAAACAAGCTGCGTGGGGAGGCTGAAGTCTGGTAAAATACCTGTAACAGAAGACAGACTGGAAGGAGAAAGTTCTCCAGGAAAGCCTGAGTGGCCACCAGGGGCGGCCCACAGCGGCTGCCACCGTCATCTGCTGAGAGGCGTGGTCTGAGCTTTCCACAAGGAATGGGTACTGCTGTTTGGAAGGTGCGATAAAGTCATTTTAAAAAATAATAAAGAGGGAAAATGCCAGGAAATCCTCCAATGCCCTTCCCTCCTCGCCCTCACCCCCACACACATGCTCCTGCACACACGCCTTCACAGCTGGTCTTGTAGCGTCCCCCCAGCAGTCCCTGGCTCCAGCCTCAGTCCCAGCACTGCAGACTCAAAGCAGGCACAGCTTGCCAGGCCTCAGCAGCCGATCAGGGCTGTAACGGCATTGCCCTGGCCCCGCTGCTGGACTCCAAATCACCTTCAGAATCAGCACCAGAAGCTGCCCATGGGCATCCTGCCTGGCCTTCTCCCCTGACTCCCGGAGCACTGGGGAAACTCCTGTCTCCACAGCATCTGCCCGGCCCAGTACCTGCAGGCCATGGGCAGCCCAAAGCCACATCTCAGCCCCCTCCATGTGACCAGCACCTGCCAGCTCCAGGAAGAACGGCTAAGTCCCAGGGCCAGGCAGCAGGTGACCAGGGAAGTGAGCTGCCCAAGGCTCTCCTGTCGGTGGTGAGGGAGCCTCCAGCCTCCCCCTTCCAGCACACCATGGGGCCTCCCCTTGCTAAAACCTATCAGCGCCCCCTGCCAAGCACAAGGGTGGAGGTCAGAGTGGGCTCAGGAACGGTGGCACAGGCAGGAGCGTGTCCTGGAGCTCGGCGCCCTTGCTAGGAGGCCCCAGAAGCAGAGGCAGGCGCCCGGCAGTGCTGAGGGGCCTGGCGTGGAGCAGGAGAAGGGCAGCACCCAGGGGAGCCAGCACCCACACACCTAAACCAGGAGCCCTGCAGGGCAAACCAGAGTCTTCCGGTTTCCTCTGGCGGGAGTGCTGGTCCCAGGCTGCAAGCAAGTCCCCAACTCCAGGTGACCTGGGCAAGCACAGTCGCCTCCCTGCAGCCCGGCGTCCTGGGCCAGCCTCTAAGAGCAGAAAACAGGCGCTGCTCACCTCAGCATCAGAAACAGGCAGCGCCGCGGGTGCCGCCGCTCACTCTGCGTGTGGGAGACACTGACTCAGGCCACAGCTCATGTCTACACCCACTCTCACATGGCGCCCAGTCCCCTTGGTGAGCAGGCCACCACCTCCTCCTCCGACGGGTACCTGACACCCCCTCACACACAAGCCAGATGCTCAGCAGCGCAGCACCGGGGAGGGGGAGGCCTGGCCGTGCCCAGGCCCACGCACCCCTGCCAGCACCAGCCCTGTGCAGCCTCCGTGTGGGGTGGGCCCCACGCATATGCATCCGAGTTGCATGTGTGAGCCTGTGTGCCCGTGTGTGCCACAGAGAGCCGGAGGAGGAGGAGGGCCCAGCTGGGGAGCTGCAGTTACATGAATCCGTGTTGTTATGGCAACTTCAACTCCACATCAAGCAGAATGCCAACCAGGCACCCCCAGGCACCTCAGAGACCGCGCCGAGAATCAGCAGTGGAGAAGCGCCCATCGCTAATAACACAAATAAGCGGTCAGAAAGCCAGCAACACACACCCCTTCTCCCGCCTCCACCTGCAGGACTGCCTCCATCCCAACCTCTACCATTCCCCGGGAGGCCGGGCTCTGCCCACTGTCCAGCTGCCAGCACTGCCCGCCAGTCCCTTCTCCCCAGAATGATAGCAGCAAACAGCAAGATGCCACCCGCCTGAGTCACACAGGCATGGGGCAGGGAGCGCCCCCGCCCCTGCGCACAGCTGCACACAGCCCAGGTGTCATGCTGTGCCCTCAGGCAGGGACCGAGGGCAGAGAGAAGGTCCAACCATGGCCAGGAGAAGCAGGGCCACCACTGTCACCTACAGGCCATAAGGAGGAGGGACTATGGCCCCATCCACTTAAGCACACTTCAATCTGGAGGAAAGCCGCTCCTTCACCAGGGCCTGCCTAGAGCCAGTGGCCATCACTTCAGTGAGCTCCCAGGTCTGTGTGGAAAGCACTTTTCTGTCCTTCCACAGATGGCAAAACTGGAGGTCAACCATGGAGTGGGCCCAGCCCTCCACCAGGGTGGAGGAAGCAGGCAGCGGGCAGTAGGGGCCCGAGGTTCAGGCTCCTCACCACTGTGCTGGAAGCCGAGCCAGGTCTAGGGAAAAGGAGAGAGGGGGGCAGGGAAGGGCCTCAAGAGAAGGTGGGATCAGCTCTGGAGAAGTGCACAGGGACCCACCACAGGACAGGGAAAGTCTGGCCCCAGTCCTGCCTGGAACCAAGGAGAGCCCCTTCATGCAGGTGGCTTTCCCATGGGAGCCTCAGAAACAGGAATGGAGTCAGAGGCCACAGGACCTAAGGGTGGGGAGGCAGGAGGACCAGGGGTCAGTGTGCGTGGAGAACAACCCAGGGTCAGGCTGGGCAGCAGCAGCTGAGAGAGACCTGGAGAAAAACAGGCCGGGGCAGGGCACGAAGGCTGGGTAGGATGTGTGGCCAGAGAACAGGATGCTGCCACTTCAGGGCCCAGAGACAAGGCACCACCCAGGACAGAGTGCAAATGCCAGACAGCCATCCTCTATAGGAGTCGCCAAGCACAGCTGGCCAGGCGCTGTCCGTGGTGCTGAGAGCCACAGCCCTGAGCCACCCCCATCGGCCCGGTACACATCCACTAAAGCCTCATGGGGTCAAGCTCAGCGGGCTGGAGGCCCTACTGTCATGGCAGGAGGGCAGGGGTGCGGATGTGTCTTTGCTAAGTGCCTACTGTGTGCAGCCACCAAAGGAGGCATTGGAACCATATTTCCTTTTTCAATGTTCACAACCTTAGAAGGTTATCAAGGTGAGGAAGCTGACCTTGAGTGTAAGCATGGCTACAAACATTAGCATATTTTTTCCTATTTCCTTCTAGAAATAAATTAAAACAACAAGGAGAATGCCCACATCACTGCTACCAAATTAACAAAAAGTTTAAAAACCCAAGCTTCACGTTTAGAAAAGGCAGGAAATAAATATAATCTGCAGGCCCTAAAGCACAGTGAGGGCTATGACCAAGGGCAGAGAGAGCAGGCAGGGCCCACGCAGGAGGAAGCAAGGCGGCACACGCGGTGGAAGGGGTGCAGGGCAGCACCTGCAGAAATGCGCTCCCTGATCATGGTCACTGACCCAGAACTCAGATGCTTTCTTTGTCACACCACCAGCAACAGAGCCAGATGAGAAGGGCTGGCATCAGGAGCCTCCTGAACAGTCTGCAGGCCCAAGCAGCAGAGTGGGTACCACACACAGAGTCATCAAGAGAGCCACATGTGCAGTCTGCCTCCATGGCAAGACTGCAGGGGAAAAACAGGACTCTGGAAAGCTACTGGGTCCCCTACATCCCCATTCCCTACCTCTCTGAGAAGGGAGCAGTGAGGACTCTTACAAGGAACTGGCCCAGGAGAAAAAAAAAAAAAAACAATGCATTCTAAAATGAAAAAATAAAACCCCGACAGCCAAAATAATCTTGAAAAAGAAAACCTTGGAGGTACATTCTTTCTGATTTCAAAACCTGCTACAAAGCTACGGTTATCAAAACAGTATGGCAGAGCATAAAATCAGATCTACAGACCGATAGAATAAAGAGTCCAGAAATAAGCCATGGTGTATACATGGTCACATGATCGCCAACAAGGGTGCTAAGACTATTCAATGGAAAAAGGATCATGTTTTCAACCAATGGTGCTGGAAAGGCTGGATAGCCCCATGCAAAAGAATGAAGTTGGATCCTCACCTTCAAACACACACTAAAATTATTAACCTCTTACAAGAAAACATAAGCAAAAAGCTGCATGACATTGAATTTGGCAATGATTTCTTGGCTATGACAGACAACGAAAGTACAGACAAGAAAAGAAAAAAATAGACAGATGAGATTTTATCAAAATTAAAAACTTTTGTACATGAAAGTACATTATCAACAGAGCACAAAGGTCACTCCCAACCTGGGAGAAAACATGTGCAACTCATGTGTCTTTTAAGGGATTAACATCCACAATATATAAGAAATTCCCACAACTCAACAACAACCAAATAATCCAATTTTTAAAGTATCACAAATGATAGAGACAAGAAGAGTGAAATGAAGTGAAAGAGAGAGGAGAAAGAAGGAAAGAAAGAGAGAGAGAAAGGGAAGGAAGGAGAGAAAGAGAAAGAAAGAAAAGGAAATAGAGAAAGCAAGAAGGAAAGAAAGAAAGAAAGAAAGGAGAAAAGAATAGAAAAGAAAGAAGAGAGGAAGGGAGGGCAAGAGAGGGAGGAGAAAATAAAGACCAAGGGGGGAGAGAGAGAGAGGAAGGGAGGGAGAGAGGGAGGGAGGTGGGAGGGGAGGGCAGGGGAGGGGAGGGCAGGGGAGGGGAAGGGACGGGAGCAGGGAGGCTGGGGAATAACGTATAAAGGCAGGAAAAACCAGCCAGACCACAGGTTGCACTGAAGCAACATTCAAGGTCGAAAGACAATGAGGTGACACCCCCAAGACGCTGAAAGGACGGGCCCAAACCAAGGGTTTCAGCAACATTCAAACCCTCCCACAAGCCAAGAAGCCACAGCTTTGAATATGCAGCACTTAGGGACTGTCCCCACCCACCATTCTGAAAAAACACCTTCAAGACAAACCTCAGCCAATCAAAAGCCGACAGGAAATGCCATCCAAAGCGCTGTCAGTGAGCATGAACTATGAATATGTTTACCAGTACTGGATTTAAGCCTGAAGCACACGTGAGCTTGCGGTGACAGAACAGCATGCAGACAGGCCCTGACTACGAGTGATGACTCAGCTGAGGACACCTGGGAGGTAAATGAGACCAGGCGGAGTGAGGTACAACAATCAGCCCCTCCCTCACCTCATTAGTAAGAACTGGAGGCACAGGATGTCATTTAAAGCTGACATCTCAGTAAGAGAAATACAGGAAGATTTAATAGTATAAAGGCAAACACTGAGAAAGGTACCACTGTCATCTGAAATTGGTGATGGGAGGAAGAAAACAAAATACATTAATTTTGTAATTACTCATAGAGGGTGTACTAATTTCCAATTGCTGCCACATCAAATTACCGCCAATGTAGCACCTTAAAACAGACAAATTTGCTCTTTCACAGCTTCTGTAGGTCAGAAGTCCGGCTGGGCCATGTTCCTACGTGGAGACTGGGAAAGTCACTTGGATATCGGGAAGAATCCAGGTCCCTGTGGCTGCAGGTCTGAGGCCCTGTTTCCCTCCTGGCAGGGGCCCACCTTGGCCCCTAGAGTCCCACCTTGGCCCCTGCAGTCCCACCTTGGCCCCTGGAGTCCCTGCATCTGGGGATCAGCAAATCCTCCTCACTCTTGGGACCTCTCTAACATTCCCCTTAACTACACAGCTCTCATTTCCTGCTGGAGAATGTTCTCTGCTTTTCAGGACTCAGATAATTATATTCAGCCTCCCCAGGTAATTCAGGACAATCAATCTACATTGAGATCCATATCCTTCAATCACATCTGCAAAGACCCTTCTGCCACGTAACATAACAGGCTCATGGGTGCTAGGGATTAGAGTGTGGCTAACTGGGTGAATGGGGGAACATTATTCTGCCTACCACCAAAGCTACTTAATATACGGTCCCTCTCAACACGGAGTACTAGAGGCATTTACAAATTACGTGAGATACTGTAACATAGAGACAAAAGTATAGACTCTCTTAAATATAAGAAGAACTCTTTTAAAATTTTTAAAACGAAAAGAAAATGGACCACAGAGTAAAAGACTTAACAACACATGCACACACAAAGCACGACAGGACTGAGGTCTGACAAATGGAGCTGACCTACCAATAAATGTACATTAGTATACTGCACTAGGCAAGAAAAAGAAAAGATTCTGTGACTGAATCACAAAGCAAAATCTAACTTCATGTCGTATAAGAGACACATTTAAAATAATTCGATATGGTTAAAATTTTGTAATGGGCAAAGGTATGCCAAGCAGGTCCAAACTCAAGAAAGCGCTAGTCATGATCTTACAGTCAGACAAGTAGAAATGAGAGAGAGAAGGGCACTTTGTTGCTAATGTATGCACTTCAGAATAAAAATGTAACCGTTATAAATAGCTATGCAACAAGTAACATGGCAGCCAACATGCACAGGAGCCAGGAGAAACAGACAGCAATGCATCAATGGTAGACATTAATTCACTCCCCTTGGTCCACAACAGAGGAAGAGACGAAAACTACGTAAGGGTTACACATGACCTAAATAACACGATGAAGGTGGTAAACGTGCTTGATATACACATCAAACCTCTGTGACCCAAAACAAAAACCCGGGCTTCTCTTCAAGCCCCAGTAGGGGAGGAGTGATGCAAACTGACTCCACATTAGGAACATAAGAAACCTCCTGAAACCCAAAAGTTCAAGAGGGAGCAGTGAACATTCTCTCACCAAGATGCAACTGAAACTGGAATAACAACAAAATCAGGAAATCAAAAGACTTGCTACTTGGAAATCTTAAAACTTGCTCCTGAAAAACTCTCGAACCAAAAAGAAAATACAAACCAAAACGGCAGAACTTCTGAACAGCAATGATAAGGAAACTGTGTCTCAACAGAGCCTGGGCATCAGCTCTTCAGTACAAACTAAGTGTGAATAGAATGATAAAATTGAATCACGCATTCACACCAAACATTTAGAAAAAAGGATAAGTAAACTGAGGAAAAGTAGAAGGGATTGTTAATTATTAGCAAGAAGCGGGGAGTTTAAAAAGCAGAAAAATAAAGATAATTAATTTAAAATTTCAAAAGCTGAATCTTTGAAGAAAAGTAACAACAAAACGGGAACTATTCACTAGCCCAATCAAGAAAAACAAGAGGAGTGACTGAGACGGAAAGAGCCCCAGGAACCAAAGGTACTGGAAGAGTCACAGGGGATCATTTCACTGACGCCTAAAGGGGCAAATACAACCGGAAGAAAATCATAATTGTTTAGGAAAATATTTACAAAACTGATCCCAGAAAAGTTTAAACAGAATCATTTCCATAGGGAAAATAATGAAGAGAAAATCATAAAAGAACTTTCTTCTAAAAAGCACCAGGCCCCAAGAGTTTCACAGAGGAACCCAACCCCTCTCTAGAGATCAGGCAATTCAGTGCTGCTGAAACATCCCAGAGAATGACATAAGAAATGCGATCATTAAACAATCTGGAGACAACAGATGCTGGAGAGGATGTGGAGAAACAGGAACACTTTTGCACCGTTGGTGGGAGTGTAAATTAGTGCAACCATTGTGGAAGGCAGTGTGGCGATTCCTCAAGGACCTAGAAATAGAAATTCCATTTGACTCAGCAATCCCATTACTGGGTATATATCCAAAGGATTATAAATCGTTCTACTATAAGGACACGTGCACACGAATGTTCATTGCAGCACAGTTTACAATAGCAAAGACCTGGAACCAACCCAAATGCCCATCAACGATAGACTGGATAGGGAAAATGTGGCACATATACACCATGGAATATTATGCAGCCATCAAAAACGAT